TATATAAAAATCTAAATCTATATAGTAAATAGTAACAGACTAAAAGCAAAACTTCAATGTCAATACTTATCTTTTTTTAAAAAAAATTATATATTTAAAATTAATCAGTTCTTACCTATGAATATTATTTATCGCCATTATATTCGTCTATATTATCATCATTGAGTTCATTGATAATACATTTATTAAAATACAGAAAATTTAACTTAGCTATATTTTTTTCTGTAAGAGCTCTACGTCTGTCATCTAAAATATGCTTATAATTGGAAAATGAACGTTCTACATCTACTCCAGAAACAGAAATCCAAATATAAATTAATGCAATTTTAGAAAGAACAGGTAAAGTATATAATTTATCTTTCCAATAATTTTCTAAAATCAAACTAAATTCATTATTAATATCAAAATTTTCATCCATTTTACAATAAACTTTCCATTCATCGATTAATCTATTTGATGGATGTTGAAATTCAGGAATATTTGAATAATCTGACAAATTGTGTCTTAAAGTAGATTGATGAATAAATTGAGGATTGAAGCATTGAATACTTTTAAAAAGTAGTAGTGCATCATGTTGTCTAACATGTTTTGTAAATTTAGTATATGTCAAGTTAAAAGCCTGTTCAAAAATTTCCTTAAAATAGTTGATATTCAGGTGATTTTGACTTATATAAACAGCCATTTCATCTGTGAATTGTGGGTTGGTTATTCCATTTAATAATATTTCTTGCATACGTTCAATTCGAGAAAAGACAAATAGCGCAATTGGTATATTTCTTGTTTGAAAAAAGTCTAAATCCTAAATTAATCTAAATATTTATATGCATGAGTATAAATATTTCTATTTATAAATAAATTTATATTATATACTTATATAATATAATACGTAATATATTTTAAAAAATACTTACTCTTGTCTGTTTAATGTAATAAATGCAGTAATCATTTCAATAAATTGTCATATCAGGATTAGAAACCCAATTAGCAAGATTGATAACAGCTTTTGATGGATCTAAAAGCATATTTTCTTGTTGATAAAAGCCAATCAAGTATTTCAAATAAGGTTTCATCCAAATTATAAATC